TATAGGAAATGTCTGTGCACTCGCTTATTTGATTTACACGAGCTCGACTTGGGAAAGCTTTTCTTTCCCCCAAGGCCAAGCCACTGAAAGATGGTAGTAGACAGGGAATTGAAGAGCTCTTGAATGTATCAGGCCTTAAAATTTGAATTTTAACCACTCTCATTGAAGCTATTGATCACCACTTACCCTTCATGGACTGATCATGCTCAGTAAAACCGCTGAAGCCAGCTGCCCTCACTCTGCTGCCCCTCCCCCCACTATCAGCAGGCACGGATCAAAACAACAAAACTGAAGCCAATGGGATTATTGGGAGCATAAATCTTCAGTAAGGACTTCTGGATTTGACTCGGTAATCATAAAATCCCAGTAAAAGGCAAAACAGAGCATATATATGTATCAATCTCATGCATAGAGTTTGTGTTGATATTAAATTTACTCAGTTTTACAGTAATACTATGTTTAGTTTCATCAGATCTATGACATTCAAAACCCTGTAAATGAAATCAGTATCTCAAAGCAAATTTCTGTTTCCACTAAGGTGGGTTTTCTTTGTTCTTGTTTTGTTCAGATGTATAATGAACCTTCCATTGTTTTTTGTCCAACTGAAAAGTAATTATTTCAGTTTAGTAGAAAAAATTCCTAGCAGCTGCATAAATGCCTTTACTCTAATGCCCAAGGAAAGGAAAATGACATAGATAACAAATATTTTTTAATTATAAATTTTATTTTAAAATGTAAATGTCATTAACCATGCATACAAGTTAAGATGGTATTTTACAACTGGGTTTTTTTTATTTTTATTATTTTTTTTTGCTTAGGACATTGTTACAATATATACTCTATGCAGTACAAAATACATAAAAAGTTACAGCAGAGCAAGAATAGATCAGCATATAACTGTACAACTGTAATACTTCAATGTAGTGATTTAGAAAGGTAAAAAGTGATCCAGGAAAGCACTGAAATGCTGTTGATAAAACTGTCCAGGTAAAAATGATGTGTGTAACATCAAATTTCACCAAAAGTGAAAAATATGTCTATAAAACGTGTGTCCGCGCATGAACATGTGCGCGTATACACACACACAATGTACATACACAACTAACTATAGTTGTAACTAAAGATGGGTCTAAACCCCAAAGTTCAGATGGAGATTCAAATTCTCCCAAAGTCCCAAGATGTTTGTTTCTATGATTTTGGGTCTGACTCATCACTAGTTGTAACAAAATGGATACCTATCATTGCTCTGTCAACATTCCCTCAAATATTGTTTCTTGCACTGTATATTTTTTATTCTTTTGGGGGTAAACAAGCACTATTTAGTTACGTTCTCTTCCACCTGCTGGCTATATAGTCATCCCCAACGCTTAAAAATATATAAACCCATTATACTGCTCACTGTCATAGTCTACACATGAGCATTTATATGCACAAACACGGGGCATATGGGAGTAACGAGCACCAGAAAGTCAGTTTGTGGGCATCAGTTGGTGACATTAGCAACGCAAGTGGCTATGGGAAGGCAAGCTTTAAATATAAAGAGTTTTATTTTCCTTATTCTTTGTTCATAAAGCATGTCTCAAAACATAACACAATTCACGCAGTACAAAACTTAGAACTCACATCAGATACTCTGACTGGACAAAGCCAGGTGTGAAATTGAATGAGGACTTCATGAGCTCTCACATGGCCATTTCCTCTACCTGATTCTATACTGGCTATATAAAACATACAAAAAGCATTGAACTTCTTGATACAAGGTAATGAGGGTTTAAAGCTGTACAGAAGCTTGCAGGGCTAGAATTTATTGCAAGTAATAATGCGGTAAAGAAGGTAGGGTACATAGAGAAAACACGTCATCTTACACAGAAATTAGGTGTTCCTATCAGACATAGGCTTTTGTTGTTTTGTTATAAATATATACCTTTACCATTACCCAATGTAAACAAAGAAATGCTATAAAAGCAAGGAGCCAACTAATTCGCAGACTTTTAAGGATGTGGGGGCACCTCATATGACACAGCCCGGCTGCCTAGAGCTTGGATTCTTTTCCAGGAAGCAGGACAGGAAACTGAAGTTTTATGGCCATTAATGCACTTTGGGTTTTGCACAAAGGAAAGTTAAACTATGTCCAATGAATCATATTGCAATTTTCTGGTAACTAGAATAAATTTGTATATATAAAAGTATCTGAGTGGAAACCCATGGAGGGAACAAACTATTGTCCTCAAATCGTGCTGGTTCCAGCTCAACAACAAAATTAACTCTTTAATGTTGATAAAACATAAAGCAGAGTTTATAGCAAACTGTGTGTAGTTTATAGTCAATCAGACTTCAGTTTATTTTAATGGACGTGTAATGGAGAAGAACAGCAATCTTTACAATTTCCAAGAAAACTAAAATGATCATTTTCAATGTTATAGGCTCTTCATACATCACAGCACTTCAGTTTAACTAGAGCAAAAGGAGCTATGACCTGGGCTGGGGACAACTATAAACAAATCCTAAGGATTTTATTGTTTGCTGCTAGCCATATCAGCTGAGTGCTTGGGTCGAAGGAGATAAGCATTTGACATGAAGGAGTAGGGCAGTGTACCTAGCCAAAGCAGTGTATCCTGACTTTGCAGTTTGGGCGTAGTAATGGGAGACTAGTTTTTAAGTCAGAATGTTGGATAAAACAATAAAAGGTTTGGCGTTTGGGGTCTGTGTGGATAAGCATCCAGATTTCAAATGCTTTATCTGAACAGTTTAGGCTACTTGATTCTGCAAAAACTGAGGAATAAGAACGGAATCTTATGATATTGCTGCCACTTCTGCTTCTGGACAAATGCTAGAGAAACCAAAACTGTCTTTAGCTAAGAGAATCTTGAGAGAAGTGCTGTTCAGATTTAGTTCTAAAACAACCAATGGATTGGATTGTGGGGAAGGGATTCTTCATTGTGTCTCTGAATCAATTTACTGATCCATTAACAGATGCACTAGTGTGGGTCGCTATTAAACTGGCATTAACAAGAACCTAAATGTCCATAATATTTATGGCCACTAATGTAGAAAGCATTTAATGTAAGTTTTGAAACTTTAGCCAGGATCTTAACGCATGACAGATCTGAATATTAACTACAAAATTTTATCTCTGAGGTGGAAGAAATTCAAAAGTTTTGAAGGTTTGACACAGATACTGCCCCAGTTTAAGAATAAAATTGGTCTCGTGGCTTTTCTCATGAGATTATTTGGTTGAGTTGGGAATTCCATTGAGAACAGCTTGCATTCAATATTTTTGCTTCCATCTAACTTTACAGAATGAATCCAAATATTTTTGGGAGCAGGCAGATAAAAGCTACAGTTTGTTGTTTGGGTGAAAGATTTATTGAGAACGGTTTTACTATCCTCTTCCAGTGCTGCTAGAGTAGCAGGGACAAACTTTTGCTGTAGCTAGACTGAGACTGTCAAAGTATTTTGCTTATAAACTAATCCATATCTTTACCTGAGTTACATTAATTCATAGTATACCTATAAACTTGAATTTTGCCTTCAGAGATAGGTCAAGAACCTGTTTTAAATCAATGTCACCATGTATTATAATGGGTGGAATTGAATTGTATTCTGCAACAGAACTAAGAAGAAAATAATGCTTTCTTTGGAGGTGATAAAGCATACCCAATTGAAGCCATAACATATAAAGGCCATCACTTTTTTGATGAGTACTTTGTAATCATCCTTTGTTTTCAGTTTTGTTTCCTGTATCATTATCCCTATAGTAAGATTTATTCATGATGAGAGAAATATTTTTACACTTAATGAACTGTTTTAAGAGTGTGTGCACTAGGCACAACTGACCTGTACAATTCTCTAAGCTAGTTGTCTTTTTTGTCCCTTTACTAACTACAGCACAAAAGCACTCTTATGAGCTGCAAAAGCTATTGGAAAGTGAATTCCTGCTACCTGAATTATATTAAAATGTTAACGTTGTGTATTTTATCAGAAGAGATTACAACAGTTGTAACTAGGGAGGTAAATGAACATGGCTTTTCCTAAACCAACAGTGTTCAGGCAACTCATCACACAAGTTAAACAATAATCGGACTTCTATCAAAAGGCTTTTTCCATCCATCATATGAAACCAGAATGTCCAGCCTTATGTGATTTTACAATTCAACAGAAAAAATTGTTTTTGTAAAGGTGAAGTTTGAAACAAATATACACAAAAATACTGAAATATCTGCACTTTAACCTGTGTTTAAGTAGTTACCAATCATACAAATGAAAGAGCGCTTGGAATTATCAACAATGTAAATGGTATGCAAGTACCTATGAAACTACTTACAAATCTATAATGTAATAGCCTCTCGCAGTTAATATACAGTACAAAATTTTTAAAAAAACCTAGTAAAATTGGATCAATGCAAAGCAGCAAGTAAGATATGGATCAAGACTCCTTTGGAATGTGGAGGCATTCACTTTATATCAAACAGCAGGTTTGGTGTATTGAGTTTCTTTTCACTGTGCTACACTTGACTGCATTTATTCTTTACAGTAATGTGAAAAAAATCCAAAACCAAAAGCACCTGAATTTTTAATATGCACCATCTGAACCAGCCAATCCAAATAAAGTATATTTTCTGACAATGAGGTCTCTGTGACATCACAATATTCTGGTCCTTTGCTATATTCTATACCATTTGTAAAGCACAGATATATATATGATAAAGTGGTCTACTATTAAAAATTAATAGAAAAATCACAACTCCCCTTTTTAATATACAATGTCTCATAGGTGAAGGGGATATTGCTTTATAGAATTCTGCACTACAGCTGAAAGAGAAGCCTGAAGTATTTTTTGAGTTAAAACACCATTTTTGTAACACTTTTTAAAAAATGCATGTTTTTTGTTTCCTTTTTATCGGTGACCACAGTTATGATACAACAGTGTACAGAAACTTTGTCTTAAGCAATTTCTTTGTGTTAGCATCCAGCTGTACAGTAGGTAAGTACCTTGATAAAAGTTTTGATGGGCATTGGTTCAGCTACAAGGTTTTCTCCGTTCTTTTTTTTTTTTTAAGTGGGGGGGGGGGAAGAAAGTTGTTCAAGTCAATGTGGTTTGCTTTAATATTTCGTTGGTCCCATATTCGATAGGCAGTGCAGAAAGAGCTTATAACTCAGAGAGATAGAAGACAAAATGCCTCCAAAATTCCATACCACCTTGCTGGAAAAGCTGTTACCCAGTGTCAATGTGTTTCCTTGTGTTTAGATTCTTTGATTAAGGCATCTCGTTTAGAAATCTTTCTTGGAAGTTAATCTAGCTTTAAAAAGAAAAGTTTATCCAACTCGGACAGGAAGCTTTTTGCAACAGGAAGTTGGTTTTTGGAGCATCTGCGGTGAGAAATGAAAGGATTGCTTGCTCTCAAAAGCAAAGGGCAGCTGCATGAAAAAGTGGGCCCCCCAAAGGTAGGATGTAACTGAAATCAAACAATAAAAGAGCCTGGCACTAACTTCCAGTACTAGTTTGTTTGTTTTTTCTCCACGTGTGTGAAAAAAACTAACAAAATATTTCTGAGTGCAAATATATTTACCGAGTAAGGTTGTGGCAAAGGTATGTCTTCATTGTACTTATTGTGTAATATAAATAGCCATCCCTGAGAAAGGAGAAGGGGGTGGGGGGAGAAAGCCCAACACAACTGAATTGTAACTGTATATATGCTTGTGTTGTGCAATCCGATCTCTCAAAACTGCTCGGACACCTGAGGTGAATTATGGATAGGTTTTTTAAGGTTTTATGGGTTTTTTATATATAAACAACAATCAAGAGCATCTGTGTATGGCTGTAAAACATATGAAATATTGAGGCAGCAGGAGCCACTAAGTGGAACATTAAGATCCGTCTGTCCGTGAGGTTAGACCAGCCACCTGTTTGGTGAGGTGAAGAGTTCTTGTTTTGAAGTTGCAGTGAGAGGCAGCTACTTACTGATTTGAAAAAACAAAACAAAATAAGCGACAGTTTTAAAACCGTGTGCAACACAAATTCAACTCCACAATAAGTGTCAGAGGCAAAGTGCTGACATCCAGTGCAGGTAGGTTTATGGGGAGCTGGCGGGGCTGATGGTGGGGCTTGATGCATCCGAACGGCTATAGTCACTGACAGACCCCGTTCTGGAGCTGCTGCCGCTCCGCCTCTTGAGCATGCTGGGGTGGAAGTTGGCATGGCGACGGGCATGCTTCGTCAGGTGATCGCTGCGCATGAAACGTTTCTCGCAGAGAGGGCAGCCGAACTTCTTCTCTCCAGTGTGAGTGCGGTAGTGCCGGGCCAGTTCGTCGGAGCGGGCAAATTTCTTGTTGCATTCTTGCCAGCTGCATTCAAAAGGCCTCTCTCCTGCGAAAAGAATGACATGGTCTTTGTAATTACAAGGGCCAGCAATGCAAGCACAATGTTTCTCGCATTTTCTGTAGGAAAGAGGAAAAATGTGGGAGGTGGGGATGGAGTGGATGTCATTCCTCCCAGAGGGAGGCAGATAAAAGGTCTATTTGTTGTAGAGGAGGCTGTTGTTGTATTCCAAGTTATTGGGAGTTCCATATAACGAGTAACTCTAGTGAATGGTTTGATCTTTGGAGGTACGGAGCACCTGCCACTCTCAGTGAAGGCAAGGACAGCCGTGGGAGCTCAGTGTCCTGAAAATCTGACCCACCCTATGTAACTATGGACTTTATTGATCCTATCTGCACTGCCTGTGCATCTGTGGAGCACTCTCTGAACCCCCAAAGTGATATATCAGCATCCACTTGGCTCACTGTAAAACCTGAGAAGATTTCACAAGGTCAGTTTCTGTGGCGGTTCACAAAGGTGATGATGAAGTATCTGGACTTGATACCACCAGGACCATACATAGATTATACAAAGAAGCAGTGTTGTCCAGTAGATAGGGCGCTGGGCTGGGAATCAGAAGACCTGAGATACAGTCCCAGATCTACCTCTGGCCTGCTGCATGGCCTTGGGCAAGTTACATTGTCTCTCTGGGCCTCAATTTCCCCATTTGTAAAATGGGGATAATGGTACATACCCTCCTCTGGAAAGTCCTTTGATATCTATGCATAAAAGTCCTATCTGTTACATGTAACACACTTCTATAACCCCCACTTCTGTAGTAGCTGAGTGGCTCATAAAATTTTATTAATCTGTATCTTCTAATTTTCTTGTGATAACCAACTTTTTAAAAACTTCCTAGTTATACTAACTTATGCTTCCTAAAATTGTGGATAAGTGTATAGTGCTATCTGTAATGCTTAGAGGACTGCAACTATTCTGTGCCAACAACAGAAGTAAAAATATTGCATAGAATAAACCAAATAGAAAAAATTGCTTTTTCTGAATTGGGCCTCCCAACAGCCAAATTTCTGGGCCTAATATACAAGCTGTTGGCTGGCTGAAGTTCCTTTACTCGGGATGCCTAGTGTGAGTATGTCTAACACGAGCTGGTAATTATACCCCTAGTTCCCAGTGTAGACATACCCTTAAAAAGACATGCAGTCTTGATGTACTGCATCTTTGATATTGCTGGGGCAAGCAGCACTGATAACAGGCCAGATAAAAGTATTGATAAATGCCCCCTCATGGGATTTTAAGAGGCATCTCTGATTAGCGAGAATAGGATTATGTCTCCCATGCACAGGAAGCGACGATTGTATTCTTGCTAATCAGGATGCATGCTTCATCTTCTGCAGACGGAGCTGAGAACTTGTTCCCGTAATGGGTGAGGGCAAAGGTGAGCTGAAATCATGGGGGTGCCTCCATGCAGCAGGAGATACCAAATGCTTCAGCATTTAAATAATAAACAAAGCACATACTCCATAAACAACAAGGAGTCTGGTGGCACCTTAAAGACTAACAGATTTATTTGGGCATAAGCTTTCGTAGGTAAAAACCTCATTTGCATCTGAAGAAATGAGGTTTTTACCCACGAAAGCTTATGCCCAAATAAATCTATCAGTCTTTAAGGTGCCACCAGACTCCTTGTTGTTTTTGTAGATACAGACTAATATGGCTACCCCCTGATACTTGATACACATACTCCATGTTTCATGACCACCAGGTCTATGTTGTCTGGTAAGCATATAAGTTTTTCACCTTCTCAATTACATCAAGCTCACATTTGTTCCTGTGACAGTATCTCTGGATTTTTAATCAACTCAGACTACAAAAGAAGGAGATACATGCTAGGGGCCCCCCCAATTTTTTTTCACATAGTACTGAGCTGGGGAGATTTAGTATGGCCAGCAACCCCTGTGGGATCATGCCCACTGCAGCTCCGGATCCCAGCACCTCGCCTGCTGAGTCCGCGACATGCTCAGCCCCCACTGGGTTGCAGAGCTGAGGCCGGCTCCTTTCTTCAGGCATTGTGACCTGGCACACAGGATCGCAGTGCCACTGAGGTTTGGCTCACCCGCCCCTCCGTTGATGGAGACAGAGGAGCAGATTGGCAGTGAGTGAGTGGTGTTGCGATCTAGCACACAGGGATCACAGTACCACTCATGTTTGGCTGGCCCCCCTCTGGACAGGCCGAACCTGAGTGGAGCTGTGATGCCCAGGTGCTAGGTCCCAATACTATTCTGGGGACCCTCTCCAACAAGGGACTTGGGGGGAACTGCCTCTTTTTCCACCAACACTGTCACCCTCTGACAACCCTGCTAGCAACGATACACACCATGTATAATGTGCATAAGGCTGTAGGCGCCACTGGTGCAGACACTGTGAAATGCTAATAAAGCAAGATGTTCAGGAACAGAAAACTGTGAAACTCCGCCCTTAACATAAGTGGTTATGTTAAAAGGAGCACCCAGCCAGCACATTCATGTAGCTATGATGGCTGTGGAAGCAGAAAAAGAACTGTCATGCATTGCATCCCCTTCCTGTCAGTTCTTTCTCTGCTTCCACATGGCTAACAAAGCTTAGAAGATATTCAATCCCCAAACACACAGCCTCTTTCTAATCCTCCTCTCCATATAGACTAGCTAGCTCTGCTGTATGACCCAGTTTCAGCAAATCCACAGGCAACATTATGACATCTGAGCATCACTTTATTTTCCATTTGGGGAGTAGGGAAGGAATCTTCTAGGAACCCCTCATTTTTCTCTTCATTCCACAACTCAAGGGCCCTGTGTGAGATTGACCCTTGTTAGCTGATGAGTGCTAGATGCAAAGGCCATAAAAACCCCACTCCTTGGATCAGGCAAAAGTAGTACATTTCAGTGATGAAAGGTATGTATTAAGATCGTATAAATCTTTCGCCTTTTACCTTCCCTCCCTCTCCCCACCACCATGCTCCTAGAAGCATGTTTTCCCAGCCACTGCCACATTGGGGAGCAAGGGACACATTCATTTTCTGTTTAATTCTTGCATGACCCTGTGAAATATTCTAAGTTGTCTCCTGTCTAATTTTTCTTTTTGCTTTCCCTCTGAATACACTGCACATGTTTTACTATGATAGATACGCTTTAACATTTCCATTAGCTCTGTCTTTCGTGTGTGTGTAAGGGGAAGGGCGTGTTTTCTGTTTCAGTATTGCTCTTGCTGGGCCTGGAGGAAGCTTCTGATCTCTTTATCGCCCAGACTAGTTTTCTTAGTGTGTGTTTTCATAGCAACCAGAATCAGCAAATGCTGTTGGCAGGGAAGACTTTCTCCATTCAATGGCTGGTTTTAGATAGAGAAGGGAACTGTTAATTTGGAATACTTCTCTTCTTTTGTTAGCCTGACCATGAAGAAAAAACAAAATGGTATCTCACGTATTGGTCAACTAGCTCACGATCAGCTGCTATTTTCTATGTCCAGTGTTTAGTACCGTGCAGCAGGCACAATGCCTCTAGCAGCCCTGGAATGCTAGCATAGCTGCTCCTTCACATTTGGAAAGGATGCTGTGTTCACTCTTTGTTCCCTTCCTCCCCACCTTCCTTCAGCCAGCTGTGTTGACCAGCACGGAGTCCCTCAGGGTAGAAGAGACCCCAGGTCCTGGAGCGCAGAAGTGGAATAGTACCTGGCCCATTGTGCACTCATAGAGAGCCAGTCATTATGGGCCAGAATGTGACATCTGGCCACATGGCCAGCCTGAGCTAATAGAGGGGCAAGGCAATAATTATAGTGAGGATGATGGGCATTAGAGCAATAAAAACGGTGAAGCTTGAAAATTCCCAAGAGTATAGAAGGAGAGGATCTTCCTCCACCAACCGCTGTACTCTTCCTTTCCATGCTCTCTTTTTCCCCCTCTTTCCAGTTCAACCTTCCTCGCCCTCATTTCAGTCTTCCCTAGTCATGTCAAAGGTTGACTAATTTTCTTTCTGTAGTTGCCCCAAAGTTTCTTGGCCTGGTGGAGTCACCTTTCCCAACCATGACTGGCAGACAGGGTTGCTTCTAGGGGTTGTTAGTTTTCTAAAATGCTTCCCAACTCTGGGGTGAGTCCTCCTTAAAGAAAAACTGCACAGTGAAGGAGCCCTGGATGCCTAATGTAAAGAAACCAAACTCATTACTCTTTATAAAAATCAGCATGAGGGCAGGAGCAAAGCTGCCTTTGGGTATTAATTAAGGTGAGTCCTAGCTGCAGTATTTCCTCCAAAACCACATATGGAAATTCTCAGGCTGCCATCAGTCTCCTCCTCTCTTACACAAAAGAGAAGTGGTTTTCTGTGCAGGTAGGTTATATAAGTGGCGTTTTACTGGCAGTAAAGCAATCAACAGAACTGGAGATTATATGACTTGATTGCTTAATTGTATCAGGGAACATGCAGCCACAGTACATTTTTCTTGCATAAGCATTACCCCATGGACACGGTGTTCTCTCCAAACAGCTTTCAGTATTAAAGTAGCTTTCTCCTTTGTGTTCTGTGAAGCAAATCCTGCAGCCCCAGCTCACGCAACACTGAAGCTAATGAGAGTTTTGCCTTAGTCACAAACTGCAGGATTTGGCCCTAAAGGTTAGTGTAGAAATATTGCATGGTGACTGAAAACTAGTGTAACAAGTGAAGAATGTGTATATATTCTTCAAACTGTACCATGGCTACCTGAGAATCCCTTTGCTAACAGGGCTAGCAGATCTTGCCACACACAAAAAAGAAGTCAATCCCGAAAGATGAACTGCAAGGGTTTAAAAAAAAAACTCGTATGCAGGCTCCTCAGAGAGGAAATAGGTGCCTGGCTATCTTACAAGGTACAGAATATTCAACCACAATTTAAATAAGTTGGATCCCAGAGATCCTAATAAATCTGAACTGCAACCTCTCTTGTTCCTCTGACAGAGCACATAACATCATCCAGCTTGTGTCTGGAGTTACAGCATTAAAGTATAGGACAGATGGAAAAATAACACATTGGAGAGCTAAATTCAACTG